CAAATCTGTCCCAGGTTCAAATTTGGCAGCCAAGAGAAGTCACTGCCTCAGACCCATCACCTCCCCCAGCCCAGGAGCTCCCTGGATCCAGGCAGAGCCTCCCCCATCCCACTCACCCGGATCACATCCAGTTCTTTGTTCCTTTGCATAAGTTGCTTTTCCAGTTCCACAATCTTGGCCATGGCCTCGTTCTCCGTATCCTGGAGTTTTTCAGATAACTGTCAATCCAAAGAGGAATAGATTAATTAAGTGGAAAACTGTAGTTTTATCCATCAAAACATCAGGACACTTGGAGCAGTGGGACATGGTTACTATGGATATTCAACCAAATCCTGAGGCCTTCCTTTGCAAATAAAAAGGGTTCCTGCCTGAGATGAGGGACATCACGTGCCCCACTGAAGGTTCCTGTGATGAATGTCACCCCTCAGCCATGACCAGCAGATGCCTGGCTGGACCATCACTACGGGCCTGTCCAGACAAGGAAGTCTATTCTGCAATAAAGCTCTTAAAATGTAATTCCTTTATTCCTCCCTGGGAGGGTGGGGAGGCCCTGGCACAGGTTGCCCAGAGAAGCTGGGGCTGCCCCTGGATCCCTGGAAGTGTCCAAGGCCAGGTTGGAGCAACCTGGAATAGTGGGAGGTGTCCCTGCCTATGGCAGGGTGTGGAACTGGATGACCTTTAAGGTCCCTTCCCACCCAAACCATTCCATGATTCTGTGACACCTCAGAGGGGCAAAGTGTTTAAAACCATATTTATTCTAAGTAATACAGGAGTGGTGAGAGAATGGAGATCATTTGATGGCTTTTTTAAAGTCTGGAAAACCACTTTTTTATTATTTTCAAAAAGCCAAGCCACATGTTCTGGACTGGAGGAACTGAATCCAAGGTTTGGGAGAGCAAAGTGTGAGCAGACACTGAACTGAGCAAACCCTGAGGGTCCCCACAACCCTATTTTTCAGCCCCTTCCCTCCTGAGCCCAGCAATGGGCCCAAGGCCCAGCCAGGAGGGTTTTCTGCTCTATTTAAGTCCTGCCCTGCTGAGGAACTGGGAATTTTGATGTAAATCAGCATTCTCAGCTCCTGAGACAACTCCTGTGCCAAGTGACTCCATCTGGAACAACCAACATCTGAACACTCCCCAGTCCAGAGGCACAGCAGTCCCAGGGTTTTTCCAACCTCACTCCAGAGGCTGTGGTCCTGCACTGCCTGTGCTCCCACCTCCCAGAACGTCCCTCTGAGCTGAGACCAAGGTGCCCAGGTGTGGTACTAACGTGAGAAATGTTCTCTTCCAGTTCCTCCACCCTCTCCAGGGCCGCGTTCTTGGTTTCGGCGTCTTCCAGCAAAGCTCCCACGTCGAACACGTTGTCCAGGTAGGCCTGGATCTGCACCTGGAGCTTGTCACTCTCCGTGTGCTTCAGCTTCTGCAAAGCCAAGGGGGACAAAGGTGGCACTGGGAATTGGGAGGGCAGGGGGACCTCGGGTCACCTCCCCCACCCAGGAAAACACGTGGGATTTGAATGTTATCTGGGGTCATAAGTGATAAACAGTCATTTTTTGAAGACCAAACATCCAGAGCTTTCAAATGAAGCCAAGCAGCGCCTCATCTTCTGTTCTAGAGGATATTATGGCTTTCCTGCCCATGGCAGGGGGTTGGAACTGGATGATCCTTAAGGTCTTCCAACCCAAACAATTCTGGCATTCCATGATTTCCTCCGTGGTTTCTTGGCAAGGCTCTGTCTGGTCCCCCAAGGACTGCAGGGCTTGTGCCACCCCCAGAGCCCAAACACACGTGTGGTGGGTGCTGCCATGTCCAAAAACACCTTGCAGACCCCAAAATCCCTCCCTCTTGAGTAGAAATCAGCAGGGACAAGTCAATACAAGCACTGTTTTCCTGGGTGTGTTCCCAAAAGCAGGGACAGGGAGAAAAATGATGCCCAGGGAAGTGTGGCTGCCCCTGGATCCCTGGAATTGTCCAAGGCCAGGTTGGATGGGGCTTGGAGCAACCTGGGCTAGTGGGAGGTGTCCCCGCCCAGGGTAGGGGTGGAATGGGATGGGCTTTAAGGTCCCTCCCAACCCAAACCAGCCTGTGATTACATGGAAAACAGATAAAGGGAAACAAAAGCAGCTTCCTTCTGAAACCCAACATTTCCCACAGGACACCAGAGCCCATCTGGCTGCCAGGGAAAACCCAAAGGAGAGATTTTCCACCCCTGGAGACGGAAGGAGCCCTGGCAGCACCTGAGCCAGGGCCAACCTGAGGCCAGCAGCCCTGAGGGACGTGGCAGGGCGAGGGTGACTGTGGTTCATCCTCCCTTTGTTATAAGCAGAGCTCCACATTTAGCTCCAGGCTGTAATTCCAGTTGGCTGCAGCTCAATTCCCTCCCACTGGGACGCTCCAGTCACAGCCCCCCTGGAGCAGCCAGGACACAGCCTTGGGAGCAGGGACTGTGGGACAACAGCCCTGGGGTGAGGGGTTTGGGGGGTTCAGGGCTGGGGCTGTGTTGGAGGGGGCAGATCCGGGTGGGACTCACATCCAAGTACTCGTCCAGGCCCAGCTTGGTGAACTCGTACTGCAGGTGCACTCGGAAGTTCATGTCCTCCACGGAGTGCACCACGATGTTGATGAACTGCATGCAGGCCACCTGCAAGGACATCACAGAGTGACCCCCAGCTGTCCCCACAGCCCCACACCGGGGTCGGAACAGGTTTTCCAGGACCAGGATCAGAGCGGGATCTCCAGGGCCGGACACGGCCACGACCACGTTTCCTTGTGGTCACTCCGAGGGGAAAACCATGAGCTGCTGTTCTGAAAGGGTTTATTTCCAAGGCAGTGCTTGGATTTTGTCTGCTGGGATGAAGGGAAACGCGAGTTCCAGGAATTGAGTCATGTCTCCAGGCCCACCTTCCCGGCGTGCCGGTGAGCGGGAACGCTGCCCCTGCCAGCTCCCAGGGCCAGAGCAGACATCACACGAGCTCTAAACAAAACAATGTTGTTCCTCAAACTGCCTGGAAAAGTGAGATTAATGTGGGGACTGGAACCCCCAGCTCAGGAAACGGGACTCGCACAAAAGGCGCTTTGTCGGGTGCCCAAAGCACGTTCCCAAAGCTGTGGGTTGAGGATCAGATCACTGGAATTGGCATCCACACATGTCCCAGCACAGCCAAAGGAAGGCAAAGGCTCTTCCTTTCCAAGAAAACCTGTGGAGTGGAAGGAATTGGGGTAGAAACCCCAAAAAGTTTGTCCTTCCCCTGAATGTAAGGCCAGGCCTCGTCCTGCTCTGCACAGGCACCCCCAGCCCTCTCCCAGCTCCCTGGGGATCATCCATCACCCTCTGAGCTGCCCCAAGACAGGGTTTGCCTCATCCTTGCTGGGTTTCTCAAGGACATAACCTCATCCTGTGAGCAATGCTGCAACAGGGATAATTCCAGCTTCCCAACAGCCACCGGGACACCTCTTGGATCTCCAGAAGGAACCTGAGGCAGCAAAAATCAAAACAACCTGAAAAGCCTCCAGGAGACCCCACAGCTCTGGGGCATTTGGTGGGAAGAAAGAACTGAAGGAGGTGAGGACTGGATGACCAGTTTGGTACTGGAACTTGGCCAGTTCCCTGTGATCTGGCCCACAGGATAAACTCAAGGGGGCAGATCTGCCCTGTGATCCCAGGGCTGGTCGGGGTGTCCCAACCTGCTCCTTCCAGCTGCAGCTCCCAGAAATCACTGGGATGCCATAAAACCTTCCCAGCCAAACTGTCCCAGCTTTGGAGGAACTGGGACCACAAGGACACTCCAAAGGTCACTCAACAGCTCCACTGGATTCCCTGCTAGGCCCTGACCAGCTTTGACCACTCTGTGTTCCAAAATCACTTCAATAGGGTTGTGAGACTGGTAAGAGGGACAACACCAAGGAACAGAGGAAGAAGGATGGTCTAAAAACTCATCCAGGAGCTCCTGGAATGGACTATTCACAGCCCTTGGTGTGCCCCCATCTCCTACAGGAACAACCCCATCCATGCTCCTGGAAACCTCAATCCAGGTTCCAATCCATGCTCCTGGAAACCCAAACCCAGGTTCCAATCCATGCCCCTGGAAACCCAAATCCAGGTTCCAATCCATGCCCCTGGAAACCCAAATCCAGGTTCCAATCCATGCTCCTGGAAACCCAAACCCAGGTTCCAATCCATGCTCCTGGAAACCTAAGCTGAGGTTTCAAGCTTTTTCAGGACCCTTTCCAGCTGCTGTGGTGGACCCTGGTTCCTTCCAGTGCTGCTCCCAGCCTTCTCCAGCTGATCCCTGCTGTCCTGTGCCTCCCCCAGAGCCAAACTCCCCTGTCCAAGGGTGCTTTTGTGATCCTTGCTGTGGCTCTCGCAACATCAGGGCCAAATTCTCATTTCCTTTCCCAAATCCTTACATACACAACTAAGGAATTTCTCCTCCAGCTCCAGGCTGGTCCTACACTCCAGATCGTGGTTGGTGGAGCAGCCCAAAGATGCAGATTTTGTTTATATTTGGGCAAGTCCTTAAAAAAACCATATTCATCCTTTTTCAAGCAAATCTCAATGCAATCTTCAGCCTATGAGAAGAGGAGGGAATTTTCTTCCAGGCTACCCACATGGATGCTGAATATTCCCAGCTCTCCAGGCTTGTATGGACACTCACATGCAGATTCCCTGTTACATCCTTACAATACATCATTTAACATCTTAAATGAAGGTGATGATGATGGAACAAGAGGAAATGGTCTCAAGTTGCTCCAGGGGAGGTTTAGGTTGGATTTAAGGGAAATTTTCTCCATAGAAAGGGTTGTCCAGCCCTGGCACAGCTGCCCAGGGCAGTGGTGAGTTCCCATTCCCAGAGGGATTTAAAAATCCCTGTGGATGTGGCACTTGGGGACATGGGTCAGTAGTGGCCTTGGCAGTCCTGCTAAATGGTCTGAGAGGGTTTTTCCAACCCAGATGGTTCTGGGATTCTCTGACAGATGATTTCTTTCCCTAAAAAGTGGACAAACCCACAGTTCCAGCGAGGTGGCTCAGGTTGCTTCCCTCCCACTCCCCAAATTCCATCATCCCTCCCAGTGAGCATGGAAAAAAATGACTGAGAGTTGGGATTTGAGGACTGAAAAATCTTTCTGTTATATTACAGACTAAATACTCCATGTTTTCTGTGCCTACCAACCTGTCCTTGCAGGGACACTGATGCAGGAATAAGGAACAAACCCAATGCAATGCGTCAGAGTTACTGAGAGCAGCTGTTAATTGGAGTTAAAATGCAGGGATCACTGTAATTTTCTCTTTTTCTTTTTAAATCCAAGAAATCTGCCATCCTGGCTCACTCACACCACCTCCTTTTTATCCTGCTGTCCCCCTGGAAGCCACAGACACAGAGCATTCAAAGCCTGGAGGAAACACCCCAGCGGGTGCTCTGACACCTAATTCTTGGCAGAAAAAGATCTTTAACACAAAGCTCGGCACTGAAATGGTTTAAAGCATCACAGATGGTTCACAGAGGCCTCAGAAAACCAGCTGGGGTGGGAATTCCTCCTGCTCTGCTCCCACTTCAGGCCGGGCCCACACGGGATCCAAGCCCTGAGCAGGAGCAGCGCAAGGGAGATTTTCCCTGATTAAATATACAAGGCTTTAATTTCTCCCATTTCTCACACAAGCACAAGTTAAAAAACCAGATATAGAGGTATTTTTGGTAGCAGACACATCCTCCCTGCCACAGCCTCCCACGTGATGCCAACGTGCTGGTGCCTGTGCCAGCCAGAGCTTCCCCTCTCCCTCTTCCCTCTTTGTGCTCCAGGGGAAGTGGGTTTGGTGAAAAAGTCATGCAGATGCACACTGAGGAACCAAAAGTGGTGCAAGCCACTGCTATATTTATCAGCAGATAAGGACAGGCAGCAGCTGGAGAGAGTCTCTCCCACACTTCCCTGTCTGGGGCTCCCAGGATTTTGGCACAGGGACAGAACTGGATGTTGCAGAAGCTGCTGTGAAAGAGCACAAAGGGCCACTTCCCTCTTACCTTCACTGTGGCACAAGGCACTTCGGGAGGAAAAGTGAATGGGCAGCTAAAAATGAAAGGTATTTGGAACATAAATAATTGGGCTGTGGTGTTTTAGGCCCAGGATCAGGAGGCAGACACAGCTCAGGCACAGGAAACTCTGGAATGAGAGCTGCTGAGGGTCAATCCCACTCACCATGAAGTCTATGTTGTTGTCCTCGTTTCTGAAGTGCTCCATGAGCTTCTCGAAGCGCTGCTTCTCCCCACACACCTACAAAAAACAAGCACCACACCTTTGGTCAAGCACAGCTTGGGCAAAAAAACCCCAAACATTAAAAATGCAGATTTTTCTGCTCATTCAAAACCCCTTTGTCCAGGTTGAAAATATTCTTCATCAAAAAAATTCAGCTGAGCAATTCTCTGTCAACACCTGCAGTGCGAGTCTGAGGAGTCAGGTACAATTATTATAGAGATACAATCATAAAAGAGCTCTTTGTGGGTCTTTTCCCCTCACAAATTTCATCATTCTGAGTGTAAGAGTTGCACCAGGCCACGCCACAGGGAAGGCTCAGCCTCTCTCCTGGCTCTTCACTGTAATATCATGTAATTAGGAAGAAAAGCAAATTACAGGGAAGACAAAGGGAAAATTATCCCTGGCTAAACAAGGAGTGAAAATACATCAGTGTAACAATCAGGGTTGCAGAGCTGTAGCACGGGCTGCTGGCAGGAAACAAAAGCAATCTGGGGGAGAAAGAAGATCTAAGATAAAGCAGCTCTCAGGATATTGCTGAAATCTTAATATTCCCAGTAGCTCCTCTGGCTCAGTCCTGCTTCCCTCAGCACACAAATGATCTGCAGTAATCCCCAAAAAGCCACAAAAGAGTAAATAAGTTTGGGAAAGACACTTCCCATCCCTGTAAGTGTTTGAGGAGCCCCCTGGCTTAATGGGTGTCCTGCCCATGGCAGGAGGTTTAAGCTTCCCTGTTTTCAGAGGGACAGAAGAAGCTCTGTTTTCACCTTAAAGGTTCTGGAAAAACAGATTCCAGTCATGTGGAGGACTGAAAGTTCCCTTCTGCTGAGGAACAAAACCCTTGGTGAGCCCTTGGCTTGCTGAAGTTGTATTTCAGTGTCTGCAGCTGAACCTTGAAGCCTCACCAGGTAAAATAAACCCTCAAACAACAAAGCATGAACCTCATGAGAAACAAATTACACTTGTTGCTCAAGCAAATTATCCTGATTTTAAACCCAAAGGACTCATCTCTCTCTGCAGGCCACGGCATGAAAGTGAAGCATTAAACACTTTTCTATGGGCTGCTCCACTAAAACCCCAAAAAACACACATTAAGGTCTAAAATAGAGCAAACCAGACCCACTCTGGGATGGAGGAGTACTTTGATGAAGCACAAATGACCTGTCTGATGGGATCCCAGGAAAAGGCTGGGGGAGTTTGGAGATCACCACCCTCCTGGTTGTGAATCTCCAGTCTAATCCCAGGCCTTTCTTCAGGAGCAATCCTTGGAAAGCCTCCCTGCAGCATCAGGAATGGCCTTGCTGGGAGATCAAAGCCCAACCCCCAGACACACCTCACTGATGGTCAGAGCAGCTCCAAGCAAAACCCAGGGCAAGGGATGTGGCCAAGTTTCAGGAAGCCCCTGGCAGTGCAGGGATCAAAGGCAGCAGCTGCTCCATGGGATCATTGGATTTGAGAGGCGTGGGCTGGGCTGGATCCAACCCCTGCTCCAAGCAAACCCCAGGAACCCTCTCCTTCATCACTCTTTAACTGCTCTGTGTTATATCCCACACAGTTTTTCCCTGCTGCAGCAACCTGGGCTAGTGGAAGGTGTCCCTGGCCATGGCAGGGGGTGGAATGGGGTGGGATTAAAGGTCCCTTCCAACCCAAACCAGTCTGGGATTCCACGGTTTCTCTTGTACCCACGTCACAAAAAAGGAAGCCGATTTAACCAAAACCCTGGACTGTGGAACCAAACAGAACAATGGTGCATCTGATCCCTCACCAGTAAAGCCAGAAGGACTGATTTCTGGGAAATCTAATGCAAACCATTCCACAGGGATGAGAAAAGCTGACACAAACAACTCGGAGCCATTTAGGGCTGACTAATTAAACAGGGAGCAACCCAGAGCGCCCTGGCAGAGCAGATCCCAGGCTGGAGCAGCCTCTGCCTGGCTGGGATACAGCAGCTGAGGAAGAGGAAAAGCAACAACCACCTGTGGCTTTCAGTGGCTGCTCCCAGATAGTTGAGATGAGTCAGGGCTGGGCCGTGTGTGTTTGAGGAGGCAGCAGAACTGACTTTCACGAAATGATATAATTTATCCTGGAAGATTAAAGAGAGTGAAACCGGAGCTGGAGCCTCCAGCCTGAAGACTGGCCCAAAGCCAAGGAGAATGCTGAAATCAAATCCCACCACATAAAACCATATGTTGCCATTTCTATTGGAATAAATTCCCGAGGCCTGTCATTTGGAAGCACGGTTGGGCCGAGGAGAGGCAGAGCTTTCCTTTATTGGCTTTATTCTGTGTAAGAAGCAAGATTAAACGAGTTACCACAGCTATAAAAACCCTCTGTCTCTGCTTAGGCTGTGAAAAAGCCCACTTTAGGTCCCATTAAGCCCACGTCATTCTGGAAGAACAATGTGGCTTTATGGAAAGCCACCCACGGAGGGTCCTTTCTCCGGGTGCTAACGAAGGAAATCCAGCCCGGATCCGTTACAAAGCCATGACACAAGCCCGTAAGGAAGCAAAAGGATCTGTTATGAAAAATTTCATGAGGATTGCACCCATATCCACCTGGCAGTGGTCACACAGTTCCCATCCAGACCACCCAAGAGCAAAGCTCAACTACGACGACCCTCGTGCTCTTCCTGCTCTCAGGGACGGATCACTGGAAGATGCTCCAGAATCACGGAATGGTTTGAGGGGGAAAGGACCCTAAAGACCATCTCATTCCAATGGGCAGGGACACCTTCCACTGTCCTAATCTGCTCCAAGCCCCATCCAACCTGGCCTTGGACACTTCCAGGGATCCAGGGGAGTCCACAACCCCTCTGGGCACCTCGAACAGCAACCTGGGCAGGGAGCAGCAGACAAGGGGATTTGGGAAAACTGAAGATGTTCTCATGTGCAGTGTCAGGCAGAAGGTGAAACCCCGGGCTGGTAGAAGCACATCCATCACCCTCCCACCTCAGACACTCATCTCACACCACCACCTCAGTTTGCTGGAGAATGGAGCTTGTAACTAAATGTCACCACAAGCAGAGCCAGCGTGTTCCACATGGAGAGGGCAGTGAATCCAGGCAGGATTTCTGAGACACAGCTGTCAGACTGTGAACTCCTCCACATCTGGAGGACTGTCCTGGTACAAGGAGGAATGGCCTTAAGGTGAAGGAGGGCAAGGTTAGATGGGATGTTGGGAAGGAATTCCTGGCTGGGAGGGTGGGGAGGCCCTGGCACAGGGTGCCCAGAGAAGCTGTGGCTGCCCCTGGATCCCTGGAAGTGTCCAAGAGCAGGCTGGATGGGGCTTGGAGCAACCTGGGAGAGTGGAAGGTGTCCCTGCCCATGGCAGGAGGTGGGATGGGATGAGTTTTAAGGTCCTTTCCAATCAGGAAACACCTGCAGTTCCCTCGAGGTGAACTCAGCCCCCCAAGGCAGGAAAACCACCCTCTGATGGAGCAAATTTAAAACACCTGAACTATAGGAGAGGCTTTGCAATCCAAGACAAGTTCTGTCAGTGCCAATGTTAAAATGACCCCCCCAAAGGCTGTTTTGAGCTTCTCCTCCTCCTCCAGTAACTCCTGGAGTCCTCCAAGAGAGAGAGGCAGAGCAAACACAGAGCGTGCGGACGAGCCCAGCCCATACAGGGTGTGCTGTCACACACAGCCTGATGGCTCTGCAGCCCAAAAATCCCTGGGAGCCTTTGTGCCCCCTTCTCCTGTCTGTGCCCCTTTGTCCAGCAGCACAATGCTGGCTTTCTGTCCCCCACAAGAGCCCAGTGTGAGCAGCAGCTCCCACCGCCGGCCCACGACCCTCCACAGGGACACTTTGTTTGCCTTCCCCGTGCTGACATTCCTGCACTTTGCAGGAGAACAAAAAAATCTGTTTTCCCATTAAGTTTCTGGTCAAGCAAACAGTTATTTAATACTTACTAGGTTAAAATACCTTTTTTACTTCTCCACAGCAGGGTTAAGTCACTCTCAAAAGCCAACAAACAACAACTGCATTTACATTTTCCAGCACTTTGCAAAGAACTTCTTCCAGCACGGGTTATTCTGCTGGTCCACAAGGATAACTCAGAAGTGCTGTTTGCAGTGCTGCCATTCATTATTCCAGCAGGGAGATGTGACTCTGGATTAAGGCCTGTGGAAAGCAAGGCCTGGACAATCTTGGTTCCCTTCAGTGTCATGAAAGCTGATGGAGGGGCATGATGGGGTTTGTGTGCAGGGCCCCCACCTTCCAGCTCCCTGCCCAACTCCCAAGCATCCAAACACCTCTGAGGGCTCAGAATTCATGGCCATAACCAGGTGATGTGTGAGAGGACTGAGATTCTCCTCACCTGTCAGGTATTCAAGAGCAGCAAATGTCCAGAGAAGTTGGGGCTGCCCCATCCCTGGAAGTATCCAGGTTGCTCCAAGCCCTGTCCAACCTGGCCTTGGACACTTCCAAGGGTCCAGGGGCAGCCACAGCCTCTCTGGGCAACCTGGGCCAGGGCCTCCCCACCCTCACAGGGAAGAAATTCTTCCAGATATCAAAGCTAAATTTCCTCTCTTCCAGTTTGACCCCATTCCCTGTGTCCTGCCGCTGCAGTTCCTGATGACCATCCCTTTCTGTGTTCCTTGGGGGCCCTTCAGATACCAGAAGGGGCTCTGAGGTCTCCATTTTCAACTGAAAAATCTCCCTTGACAAGAACCAAACCCTGCCCTCGTTTCCATCAGAGCAAAGCTCAAAGCTTGATGAACCATCTGATGTTCACCCCCATGGAAACGAGAGCAGAACTTGGTGCTAAACATCCTGTTTTCCCTCCTGACTTTATTAGATTTCATTAGGCAGGAGTTCAGCTTCCTTTTGAAGTTGTTTCATGGCAAAGAGATGGAGTGGCAGAGATCTAATTCAATAAGTCAAATCTGCCCTAAATAGGCATGAAAGAACCGTGGCAGCCCCGAACTGCAGAGCTACAGCAGCCACACAAAGATTATGGAGCTCACAGCAATTTGAATTGGATGTGCAGGGCTGGAAAGCCAAGCCTGGGTACTTGACTTGTCAGCAACTCGAGGGGTTTATAAAATAAAAGTGAAAACTTGAAACCATTCCTGAAAGCTTGCCCAGGAGGAAGGTGGAAAACAACAGCACAGAGCAAGAAATAAGCAGCATAATTGGGTAAAAAGGGCAGCTAAATGCAGAACTGGGGAATGAAAGAGCAGTTAAATGCAGAATTGAGGAAGAGAAGAGCATCCAAATGCAGAATTGAGGAAGAAAAGAGCATCTAAATGTAGAATTGAGAAAGAGAAGAGCATCCAAATGCAGAACTGAGGAAGGCAAATCCCCTCCCTGACCTCACTTAACCTGCAACAGCCGACAGTTCCACCCTCACTTGCTCAGACCCCAAAGGAATGGAATAAATAACTAATTCCACACCAACTGAATGGGTTCCATGGGAATATTTGTCTCAGCAGGAGATGACAGAGCACCTGGAAGGACATGAAGGAGCAAAACCTTGACTGAGGATGCCAGGAAGGTAAGAAAGCACCTGGGGTTTCCACACCCTTCCCTGGGAGGTGTCCAATGAGCCTCACAGACCATCCCAACCAGTGGGATTTGGCTGCAGCCACTATTTATCCCCAATCCCTCCCTGCTGAGCCCTATTCCTTCCCTAACAGAGCAGGAAAACCCAGGAGAATTTAACCCTGGACTAACAACGTTGTGATCTGCACATTTGCAGAGTTTTTTCCCCACTGAAAGCCCCTCTCTCAAATTGTTCTTCACAACAATCCCACTGCATTTGCCTCCTGATCCCTTGGGTTCCCAAAGGTGCAAACAAAGACATGACACGACACAGATGAACCAAGGGAAGACCCAAACCATAATTCCCAGTTTCTGCCTGCACTGAAGGTCCCCAGACCTTTCCCCAATTCCCATTTTCTGAGTGCCCCTCCCACTGGTGTCACCCCAAGCCAGGCTCTCTCCGTGGTCACACACTTCCAACCCAACTTCCACTTCCCAGCAGTGCTGTTCCCATTCCCTCTGTCCTCAGGACAACCTTCCCACACCCAGAGGGACAGGCCTGGACTTGCAGAGCTGAGCTTTCCACAACAGGCCCACGCTGGAGGTGGCTCAAACCTTTTGCTCTGGATGATGTTGAGCACCTCCAAAATTCCCTCATTTATCTACAACATGCAAATCCTTCCGAGGTCAGAAATTATTCCCCAAACACAAAACACCAAAAAATTACCAACTTGGCTCCTGGATCATCTGCATTAACCCACTTACAGCTTCAAGGAAACACACCCTGTGTCCAGTTGGGACTCACCAAATCCAACAATTCTGGAGCTGGAAAGTCTAATTTATTCCTTTTTAATTTGATATTAACCCCACACATATAGCCAATATCCAAAGGAAACTAAGACAGCAGCATTCTAGGACTTGCTTCCCCCTCCCAGTGCTTCCAAACCCTCACACAATATTCCCAAATCCTTTAAATCACTGTGTGCAAACTGGAAAATACACCTATAAATGACATCTGAGCCAACTGGAATTCCTGGATGAATTCCAGCAGTCACTGTGACTGACAGAGACTTGATTCTGTAATTTCTACACAGACAAAATTCCCACTGAGGGTAAATCCGGGAACTTTGTGTTTCAAGGGCCTGTGGAAATGGCTTTGGAAATGGGAGATCTAACCCAGCATTCCTGGTTGTTCCAGAGACAGAGCAACTGGAGTCAAGCTTTCAAAATGTCCTAAAACCATGGGACATCATTTGACTGAGCAAAGGGAGCTCAAATTCCCAGCCTGGATTCGCCCTGTTGGAGTTACAGCTCTTCCCCACAGACACGAAAACGATGGAATGGTCACCAAGGAGCTGCTTTGCACCTCCAAGGAAAGCCTGTAGTTCATGGAAAATCCTGACTCCAGGGAATTTAGCTGGATGAGGAAGCTCCAGGCAATAATCAGAGAGGGAATAACACCCAAATTAAATGAGTTGGGCCAAGGTACCTCCTTGAAGTTATCAAAGGCCGACAGGATGATCTCGTGTCCCCCTCGGACGAGGCAAACGGCTGCCAAGAGTTCCAAGACGAGGGCCTTTGTCCTGTGGAGAGAGGAAAAGGGGGCACTCAGTGACCAGCACCTGCTTCCAAACCTGTGGGAGAATGTGGGAGATGGAGCTTCACCCCCTGTGGTTTTAATCCCCTTGAATCAATAAACCTGCCGAGCGTCCCTGATCCAGGGAATTCGGCCTCTCCCGGGATCATGCACTTCTCCCCCTGTTTAATGCTGCTCAAAACATGCAGGAATTGAAACCACAACTCAGAAACTCAAGCAAAAAGGCAGTTGCAGAACTTTGGGAAAGGCAGATCACTGACAGCTCCTACTCCTGGAGAACTCCCCTGCACACACCCACGGGGGGCAGATTCCCACACCCCAACTGGCCTCCTCTGATCCCACTTTTTAAGGGGAGTGCATATAATTCCAATCTGCATTTTTCCTGGTATAAATCTGAATTATTCTCTGTGTTATTCAGAGCCACACACACAGAGTTCACTGCAGGAACACAGGATGCCTCAGCACGTCCTTCTCCCTAGAAATCAGAAATCAATCTGCCACAGAGAGAAAACACCAGATCACTGAGAGAAAACCATGCACCAAACTGGGTGTTACCCTAAGGAAAATAATCCACAGTATTTCCTTACGGGATTCGTGGAAAGCAAAAGATTTCCTGGCCAGCTGAGCTCTGAGCAGAGTCAAACCATGCAGACACATAAAATTAGTCTCATGCCAAAGCAGAGTCTCAAACCAGATGTTACAGAACAAGAAATACCTTTTGGCTTTCAAAGGGTCAGGGTTATCTTTGGGAACCACATAAAATGTTCACTTCCCTAGGAAATTTTAAACGGGTCATGTTCAAGGCTGACTCATCCAGGGGGGTTCTGTCAGACAGGATCAAGGAGCTCTTGTGTGGATCTTCAGGGATATCCCATCCCAGGGTGGGTTGTGAGGGGCTGTGGGGGCGGGGAGAGGGGATCTCTGGGATCAGAGGGATTCCCAGGTCTCTGGTGCAATGGGGACAAGAGAGGACAGTTCCAGCTGTGTCTGTGGGATCCCTCTGGGAAGAACCAGGAGATGGAGTCCCCCCAGTCCCTCTCCACCTGCTGCCCACTCAGCTCCACAGTGGGAATGGGATCAGCTCCACATCCCATCCCCAGAGCTGCTGCTTCCCCTTGGCACATCTCACCCACCCTAAGCACTCAGACCTCTGGATTCTTCAATTATGGGGCTGAACTAAACACAGATTGGGGTTTTGAACAGCACTAACACTCAGTTTTGTCCTCAGACTCTTTCAGTCACATTTTAAAGCAACGTTTTTAGAAACAGAAATCGAAATAACCCCCTTGTTTCAAAACTGAAAACTGGGGTTGTCCCTCGACCACCTGATTTCCAGGCACAAAAGTGATTAAAAAGTGATTTAAAAATAATAAACTTCCCATGTCCTTCCTATTTATCTGTGCATGTGTTTGCTGACTTAGGGCTGACTACAAGAAAGGAAGGATGTCCCTGTTTCCACCAGGACAAGGTTTGTGCTCTGTCAGCCCAGAGCCCAAGCCAAGGCCCTGTAAACACACACAGAGTTTTGTTTAGTCATCTCAGCCCCCAGTTTGACCTTTCCTTGGAAAAATGTCTGTGCCAGGTTTGGTTTTGTAAGACCAGGAAAGGTTGAGAACTCCAGGGTCTGCTGGAAGTGGCTGCTGGGATCACAGGTGTGGGAGAGGAGGGACAGGGATTCACAGCCAGCAGTTGCACTGTGGAATCACATTATGGCTGTGGCTGCACAGCAACCTGACCCAGGACAGGAATGCAACCTTCTCCCAAGGAAATTCAAACCTAAGGATCCTTGGATAACATTTCTAAGGAAGATTCTCCCTTTCTTCAGGAAAATCCCATGTTAAGCTGCTCATTATCAGGGGGGTTTCTCTGCACTGCAACAGAGCTGAGGGGCTTCAGCAGCTCAATCACAGAATCCCAGAATGTTTTGGCTTGGAAGGACCTTAAAGCTCATCCACTCCCACCTCCTGCCATGGGCAGGGACACCTTCCACTAGCCCAGGTTGCTCCAAGCCCCGTCCAACCTGGCCTTGGACACTTCCAGGGATCCAGGGACAGCCACAGCTTCTCTGGGCAACCTGTGCCAGGGCTTCCCCACCCTCCCAGGGAAGGACTTCTCCCCAGTATCCAACCCAAATCCCCCCCCTGTCAGTTCAAAGCCATTATCACAGCTGCAGAATCAGCAGCTCCTGAACCCACTGGAATCAGACAACAACTGCTCATCTCCCTGCACCACTACACACATTTAATCCGATTTTTGCCACAGGTTTGTGCACAAGCACACCCTTTTGAAGGTGAAAACCCCTTCCCAAGTCCTCTTTACTTACCTGCTTGTCCAACTCTCCAAAAACAAGAGCACCTACCTGGGGTTCTTGTTGTTCAGACTCAGGGCGATCTCATTGACGGCGTGGGGGTGGGACATGACCATGTTGAATCCATACTGGGGACAGAAGGGAAAGGAAGTCCTGCTGCAGTTCTGACACCCCAAATTATTACTCAGAAACCTAACAAATCCCACCACCCTGACCAGACCCCCGTGGCAGTTTTTTAAGCCAAACAAAACCTCGTGGAGTTTACTGGTTAAACCGAAATACTTCATTCTCCCACCAGTCCTAAAAAACTTCCAACTCTGGATATTCCATGATCCTACAATTCCCTGCCACTGGCAGAGTTGAAAATACTCCTTTTGGCCATGTCAGCCAACAAAAGGGGTCTAAGAGCTGCCCCTACATTATTTCCAGCCCCTCTGCTTTTCCTTTTCTCCCTCCAGCCCCTTTTTAATTGTGACAGTCGAGAGCATGATTTACTCCCTAAAGAGGACTTTGAAGTTCAGTTGTTGCCACTCTCCAAAAATGAAAACAGAATTCCTTTGGAAAATACTCCACTGGTTATTAGGATTGGGGCTGGTCTCCCTCCCAATCCCTGTAAATCCCAGGGAGCTGGTACCCCCCACCCAGGGCAGAGGAGGGGTTACAAACACCTCCTACACCCCTCAGGAACTCCTAAGAAAGGTGTTCCCCACAGGCTTCCCTTGTTTTAGCAAAAAAAACCAAATCCTTGGAGCTCCCTGGACAAACTGCACAATCCCTGTATCCCACTGGAAAGAAAAAAACCCTCAGGAAAATCAGGTTGGCTTTGGTTTAGTTGGTTCACTCCCAGTTGTCCCATTGCCTTGCCATAAACACTTACTGAGGAAAAACAAGGATTCTTCTGGAAAAAAAAATCTCCTCTTTTTAAGCATTAAGACTAAATGCTGAGACTAATTAGAACCTGATTGGCTGCAGGTTTAATTAGTTAGTGCCCAATGAGCACATCATGCCCAGGTTCACCTGTGCCTTCCCACCTGCAATAAATCACCTGCACAGGTAAATCAGAACTGTGTCCTGCTGCTTCCCATTTTAATAATGAGAATGGAAATATTTGCATCGGTTCTACCTTCCAAATTCACCCCGAACTTTTCCTCCCCCCTCCCAACACTGAAAAAGTTCTGTGGTGTCAAAAGGCAATTAATTACCTGGTAGTTCATTATGGCCCTCAAGCACATGATGCAGACGTGAACATCGTCCTTTTTACTCACTAATCTGGAGTTTTTTAGTGTTCTTCGGCTTGGCAAGGTGTTGTACCTGCAGAGAGAAGCAGCTCTCATCAACCACAGGGCTGGTTTTAGGGGGTGAGAAGGAAGGAAGAGAAATATCCCTCCACTGGGTGAGAAGGAAGGTGTTTCTCAGGTGAACACGGGGCAATATTCATGAAAATAAAGCAGGAAAAGGGGCTGGGATGTTCACACAAAAAAAAGCAGATGTTTGGCTCCACAGACCAGGAGCTGCTGTGCCAGTGCAGGGGACAGTAAATATTCATAATAAAGACATAAACAAGAAATACCACACTGAATTATTGTGATTCACTACTCTCTGACACAAACACCTCCAAATTCCCTCCCTTCAAATGTCCAAACCAAGAGGAACGAGGGGGGTCGTGGAGCTCTGCCCATGGAGAGCCCACAACCCTCAGCCTTCAGCAACTCCTCCCCTTGGCTTTCATTTTCCAGCAGTGCCAAGATGAAAGAAATCCCAAAATTCAAAGCAGGATTCAATCAAAAGCCTTCTTTTCCCCCCCTCCCATAAATATGAATGAATAAATCAGCTCAGGGCACTGCAGGAGGATTTCAGGGCTCTGGGAAAGATTGACCCAGTTTTGGCTGAGAACAGAGGGTGGTTTCAGCTGAATTTTGGGGAGTGGATCCTGTGGATGGGACCAGGATTGTGCCTTGGAGAACCAGGACAGGATGAGGCCGATGGCTCCAAGCTCCTTGGATTGGGGCTCTGCACCTGGAAACTCTGGCAGCTCCTGCTGGGAATGGGGCTGCCAAGGAGCTGCAGCCTGGACTGTCCCACCATCCTGCCTCCTTCCCATGGATCAGCTCCCTGCCCACACAGACCCTGCACCCAGGGACTCCTTCACTTCCCAAATGTCCCTTCCTGAGATAAAAGAGGAGCAGAGCAGCCTTCAACTGGGAGTCTGAACTGGGAAGTGTGGAATTGCTGCCAGTGCTGGCTGGAGAATGTGGAACCACACCACACCAGCCCATTTCAGACATTCATTTCTCCAAGTGAGAAAACCCGGCAATAAAAGGATTTTAAAGTCATTTCTAGTCAGAGATTGTCCCTACAACGACTTATCTCAGCTTTAAACCACTAAAGGCTGCAGACACTGCTTTCCTTTACATTTTAAATCAGCAGATTAATGAGATCTTAATCATGGAACTGATAGGAGAATAAACTTCCTCAGTGCACCAGCTCCTAAATTTCAGAATGCCTTTAGCCATCTGACAGTTAAGAAATGGGGGGAGTCTCCCTAAACTAATAAAAGATGATGATAAAGCCAGAATTTGGCATTTCCAGATTGGTCTCTTCCAACCCAAACTGTGATCCTCCAAAGCATTGTGGGCACCAGAAGGAAGGTCTGAGGTGAAGCCAACACTCCCTCCCTCCAGAGAGGTGGAAAAGCCCCACAGAAACCCAGCAGGGCTGCACAGATCCCATATGGCCCCACCTGCCCCCAGCCAGGAAAGCTGCTGGTTTGGAGCCTGGAGATGTTCCCTGGGGGATCCTCATGAGCAGCTGAATGGGCAAAGCCAGGGGCAGCAGTTGTGTCCTCCTCCCACATCCCCAGATGACCCTCCCCTGGGGACTGTCCCAAGGCACAGCTCCATCCCTGAGCTCCTCTGCCTTTCCCACAAATCCCGAGGCAGTGACACTGAGAGCCCACAGGGTAGGTTGGAGGGGCCCACAGTGGGTCACCTGCTCCAGCAGGGCCATCCCAGAGCACAGGGATGTGGCCACATTGTTCTGGGATATCTCCACTGAGGGGGACTCCAACCCTCTGTGGGCAACCTGTCACCTCACTGTTCTTCCTCCTGTTCAGGTGGAACTTCCTGGCACCAGTCTGTGCCCGTTCCCTCTTCTCCTACTGCCTGGCATCACCAAGCAGAGCCTGGCTCCAGCCCCTTGGCACATTCCCACTCCCACCCGTGTCAGTGTCCCACTGGGGTGAGACCCAGGCATGGAATCTGCCCTGAAGAGCAGATCCAATCCCTACATTTCCATCCCTTCCCTTCCCCAGATGCAAATCCCCTCACGTGGACCCGAGTGCCAAAAATTCACGAGGAGTTTTTGCACAGCAACTCCTGAACAACAACAACAGAGCTGAGGCTGGAGATGCTTCCCCTGCCTCAGTAGTGATCCCAACAATTCCCAGTGTTTCTGCTCCCTCCCCAGAGCAGGGCAGGCTGCTGGGAGCTCCGACACCTCCCTCCAGCCAAGGGAAGGGTGGCTGAGCTTCTCCTGCTTTTCCTTCATTCCTGGTTCCTGAACACTTGGCTGAGCCCAGCAGCTTGGATGACTCGTTGGGTTTGATTTCCTGTCTGCTGCAGGTCAAGGATTATGTCACCACGAGTATATTTATCCTGCTAATTCAACTCAGATGGTTCCTCTTTTTATTTCCTCGGCCCCTCCTTTAGAGGGGAACCATAAACCTCTTCTCCCAAAAAAAAAGCAGGGGCAGAGAAGCTGAGTGTGGGGAAGCTCCTGCAGTGGATAATGGGTTCCTCCTGCCACTCTGGACCCTCTCACATGTGGGGAAGGAGCTACTCCATAGTTTTGGGACTTCACTGCTGGAGGATGGGGGGAAGAATGCAAGATCCAGGATTTCCACAGCTGGGATTCTGCAGCCATGTGGGAAAACAGACAATCATTAAACCCAAGGCTAATCCTGTGCTGAAATACAGAGTTTTAGGGTTCTTTTCTCACCCACATCTAACAGAAGAACTTTCTGTTCAAGAATAACTCACTTATCATTTTTATTTCCCTAGGGACATGGAGATGCTCCAGGGCTGGAGCCCCTCTGCTCTGGAGCCAGGCTGGGAGAGCTGGGGGGGTTCCCCTGGAGAAGAGAAGGATCCAGGGAGAGCTGAGAGCCCCTTCCAGGACCTAAAGGGGCTCCAGGAGAGCTGGAGAGGGACTGGGGACAAGGGATGGAGGGACAGGACACAGGGAATGGCTTCAAAGTGAAGGAGGGAATTTTAGATGGGATATTGGGAAGGAATTGCTGGCTGGAGAGGTGGGAGGCCCTGGCACAGGTTGCCCAGAGAAGCTGTGGCTGCTCCTTGATCCCTGGAAGTGTCCAAGGCCAGGCTAGATGGGGCTTGGAGCAACCTGGGCTGGTGGAAGGTGTCCCAGCCCAGGGCAGGGGATGGAATGAGATGGGATTTAAGGTCCCTTCCCACCCAACCCATTCTGGGATTCCATGACATGTGCCCAATCCAATGCAGATTTACAATGCACCACATTAATTCCAATTACAGCTGCTCTCTCCTCTCATTTTTACCTCATTTTCTGCTAAAAAAGCCCCTCATCTCTCCCCTGGCTCCCTGGAGAGCAGAGGGCAGCCCAGGATGGATCTCACCACCCCCCTGGCAGCTGGCCCAGCTCTCCATGGGCTGGGACTGCTGGTTTTCCTAGGGGTTGGGTGGGTTTTGGGTGACATTCCTGCAATTGGATTGGTGGTGGTCTGGAAACTGGGGGGGGGTTGTATTATCAACATCCTCCTGATAGCAGAAAGTGGCTTTAGGGGAGGAAGGTTTTGGCACATCCCACAAATTTGGGGTTTTTCTGATCCCTCAGAGCTGATCACAAACATGCTCTGTTACATGAGGAAATATCTGACCAAAAGGATGTTTCCCAGGTCCCTGAGCAGCGAAAGTGTTAATGACAAAGCCCAAATTAAAGGACTGCAGCACACGAAGCCGTGTCAAATTAAAGCCCAATTAGTGAAGGCACTCAAAGCCCATCTATGGATTGAGCTCCCTGGGCCTGGATCCTTCTCTCCTCGTGGAGATTTTGAAGAATTGAAGTTTCTCACTTCAATCCACATTAAAAACTCCAGTATTTGACTGGGAAGAAAGGGAATTTCTAATGGGCTGGGCCTCTGCAAAGGCTGCATTAATATTTATCTGACAGGAGACTCTGACTCTCAGCAATGCTCCCTCTCCCAAAAAAGCAGCAATAAAATCCCCAAAGCTTCAGCCCCTTTTTTATCCTCCTGCCCTCGTTTTGGAGTCGGTTCCCCAAATCCCTGTGCCTCCTCTTCAGGAAAAAGCCCTCAGTTGCCAAGGAAACCCAGAGAGCAGGGAATTGGCAGGGTTTAGCACTGTTAAAAAGAGCTCTGGGAAGGCAGTTGGAGTCGGGGTTGGAAAGGGATGGGCTGAGCCACCAAAGGGACACACAGAGCTCCGTGTCCACCCCAGGCCAGCTCCGGAATTTGGAATTATCCCGGTAAGATTTGACAGCCTTCTCCTTTCTCATCCAAGAGGGAGGAGCACATCTTTCAGTCCAGCTGGGCTGCCCCTGGATCCCTGGAAGTGTCCAAGGCCAGGCTGGATGGGGCTTGGAGCAACCTGGGCTGGTGGGAGGTGTCCCTGCCCGTGGCAGGGGTGGAATGAGATGAGCTTTAGGGTCCCTTCCAACTCAAACCAGCCTGGGATTCTGGGATTCCTCTCTCCCATTTCAATGGTTTCCATGACAAAGACAGAAGAGCAGAACCTACAGACACATCTGGGTGTCCACATCCCAGAACCCTCATTTACCACTCAGTGGCAGGGCAGGAACCTCCTGGTTTTGCCCAAAAACATCATCCTGCACACCCTCCTCACTCGATGAGCACCTACCTTGCTCTCAAGAAAAGATTCTATTTCAATTATTTAGCAATTCCACAAAAAATACAAAAACCTTCTTAAAACCTCCCCACTTACCTTTAGCTTTTACTTTTTTAAATACACATCATCCCCAGGTATTGAAAAATACACATTTTCAAAAACATGCATTTTAGAACACAGAGTTAAAAAAAAAAACCCAAACAACAACAAAGACCAATCCAAATGTGCCAATTCCACACAGTTTCTGCCTAAACTGCCCCAGTGCTGAGATGGCTCTGGAGGGACTTGGCTGGAGAACAGGGTGTTAAATCCCATTTCTGTGCCGGTCTGGGGTGTGAATAAAGTCTCCATTTATAACAAAAAGATGAAGTAAGATGGACAAGGACCAAAGGCTCGTGTTTTAAGGAATAAAACTAACACCACTACTTGCAGCACGACAAAGGGAACTCGGATCTCGCTTCCAAGTCAAGCCCGTCTCACGTCCTCCGCGAAAATCCCGCCCTACGGAAGCCACTACTCTGGGAATTCTATAATGTGATACCCACTGCTTGGTACCCTCCTGGGGGGCAGCCCCAATCCGTGTGGATATCAGATTATCTGGCATGGGGAGCAGTGCTGGCCCCTGGCTCCATGCCCTGCACAGCCCCGGCTCCGGAGGACCTTCCACTCGGGACTTACGGGATTTTCCGGCCGGGAGCCTCATCGGCAGAGCCCCAAGTGAAGCTGCTCCAGAGGCAGGTGGCTGACCAGCAGCTCTGGCAGCGTTTGAACTCAAGTTGCTCGGGCAGAGAAACCAATCTGATGGTGTGTGAGGGGAGGGAAGGATGAGAGAGAAGCGTTTGAGGGGGAGAAGGGAATGAAGGGGACATTGAGATGGGGAACCAAACAGGTGAGGAATAAAGGGAGATGTGAGAAAGGAAAAAGGATGGAAGGAAACGAAGAGAAACAATGTAAGAGACATGTAATGTATTCCCGACTCAGGCATTTCTAATCCCAAGCTCTCCTCCCAAAAACAGATGGAACCAGCACAGGGCTCTGCCATTCCTGTCAGAGCAATTACAGAGCAGAGAAAACAAAAAACACTCACAAAAATAATAAATCAACGGCTCAAGTGATTTTGCTGCACTCCAGAGCCTGGATTTCTTTACCAGAGCTGTGCCTGTCTCCTCCTCTCCACTGCCTGAGGGCTGGGAACTAAATTTTCCAGGTACTGCTCCAGAGCCACTTGGGCACTGAGCATCAACCCAAGGGTCACCTGCCTGGCAAAGCAAAACAATCTCTGCTGGAAGGAAAAAGCTGGAAGCCAGTTCTCCCCGGCTCCATCTTTTTTGGGACTCTTCTACACTCACAGGGCTCTGTAGCAACCAAAAATATCCCAAGTCAGCCAGCACTCCAGGTAACACTGCTGGAGTCTGAGGGAGGTCCTCACTGTGGTTTAAACAGTGGAGCATCCAAGGAATGGAACAGCCTTGTCTGTCAGCCACTCCTGGGAAGTGAGCCTGCCTTTTCCACACATTAAACAATAAGAAAAAGGCAGGATTGGGAAAGAGAGACTCCGTAGCAAAGCCTGGGGTGGTGGGAGAGGGACACAGGTTTGAAGGATGGAAGTGGCCTTTCAAAAAAACAACAGCTCCTGTTGGTGGCAGCGTGGAAGGAACGTGCTGCTGGAAGAGACGGGACACAGATGAGAGCCCCGGACTGGCTGGGCCCATGGAAACCTTGAGACATGTTTTGGAGCAGAGGAATGGCTTCCCCTGTGCTTTGTAAGGGGTGGAAATGCATCCTCAGGCCATCCTGCCCTTGGGAATGGGCAGAGTTATCCCTGTCCCTTCCCCAAGTGTGTAACGCTGTCCCGTGTCACTGGCTGGGCACTTCCCACCTCACACCACCAGCACAGCCACACGTTCCCTAGAAATGTCATGGCTCTGCTGGGAGAAGCAGGAAGGTGGAGGATACCCCAGTGGGAGAAGGTTCCCCATCCCACGGCCTCGTACCGGAGCGTGGAGTGCCGGCCCGAGCGGGAGACGCTGTTCCCAACCGGGGAGGGCAGGTTGGTGCCCCTGTGCAGGTCCTCGATGGAGCGGCTCCAGGGCTTGGACTTGTCCATGGAGTTCTCCACGCTGTTCTCCAGGCTCTCAAAGTCAAACCTGAAAGGGAAGAGGAATTCCAGGGCCAGGTGAGACAGAAGAGATGCCCCGAGTTTTCCTCCCTGTGGGTTTGAGGGGAATCACAAAGTCATGGGACAAAGCCAAGTCTGACAAAATCAAATGAAAAGCCCTCCAAGACCATCGAGTCCAACCATTCCACCAGCTGTTCCAAGGGCCCTTCCCACCCAAACCAGCCTGGGATTGTGTGATCCCTGAGGTTGGAAAAGCCCTCCCAGCCCATGGATCCCCCCTGTGCCCAATGCCCCCGTTGTCCCCCAGCCCAGAGCATGGCCAGGCTTTCCTGGGACACCTCCAGGGCTGGGCCTGTAGCAACCCACCACCCCAAACATGTATGAGGTAAAGGGAATGCTAATGGTTAATAACATTCCTTATGTGATCCAGTGAAATAGTGATGGAAAAGGAGACCTAAAGACAATGTGGGGCTTGAGGGACACAGCACAGTCCAGGGAAACGGGATGAGCTCCAGAGGGGGGAAGGAAATCCCAGAATCACAGATTCTTTCAGGCTGGAAAAGGCCTCCAAGAGCATCAGGTCCAACCATCCCCCAGCACTGCCAAGGCCACCATTAACCATGTCCCCAAGTGCCACATCCACGTGGATTTTCCATCCTTCCAGGATCAAACAGCTCCATATTATTCCACCTCAACACAACACAAATCCAGCACTGGCTGCTCTGCTGAGGGAACAGCTCTGCCTTAAAGGAAAGAGTGGGAATGCTGGGACCCCTCTCCACTTCATCTCAACAAATCAGTTGTCCAAGTACCGGTTTGGTTTCTTCCCCCAACACCGTGTTGGCCTCACAAATCTCCCAGCACGTGCAATAAATCACCATCATCATCCCAGCCCCTTCCCTGCCCCTTGTTCTGCTATTCCAAGCAGGAATTCTTGTTCCCTTTACAGCTTTGGAGGTTGTTACTCATGTTTACCATGTCAGGGGGGAAAAACCCAGCGAGTCACTTGCGGACATTTGTATAAATTTAGGAAGAGAGTCTTCCTCTAAACACTTCTTTTAACTCTGCACAGTTTTTTCCAGTTAGTCACATTTTAAAACATATAATTTCCCTTCATTAATTTTTCTGCAAGGTCACCAAAAATCCCTTTTCTGTGCAATGATATACCATAAATGTGAGGGCTGCTTTGCTAAAAATAGATTATCAGTATCTTAACCTAAGGCTTCTTTTTAGACACTTTTATATCAAAAAAATCTGCTACAATACCCTGAATTAATATGGATATAATGTCCCATTCCTGGAAGTGTTCAAGGTCTGGTTTAGTGGAAAGTGCCCTTGCCCATGGTAGGGATGAGCTTTAAGGTCCCTCCCAACTCAAACCAGTCTGGGATGATTCCATGATAATAAATAAATTAATAAAATAAACAAATACTTGGATTCTCTGCTGAAAATCTACTTCCAATTCTGTGACATAACAACTCATGAAAGCTCATTTTCCCACTCTGCTCTCAGAACATGTGTCATGATTTATCACCCACACAACTAAATAAACGTGACCCCCAGCTACCCAGATGTCAGAAGAGAAAAAAACTTGGTTTCCAGCCTTCCCAACTTGCAAAATGCCCCCCCTGGAACTCCTCCTGTTTTCCTGGAGCACATCTGCTGCCCAGGACACCCCCAGCTCTGCCTGTGAGCAGTGCCTGGGGTGTGGATGTGCCCTTTGAACACAGCAGGAACACAATTCTTAGGGTTGGGCACCGATTCCAAACCTCTTTCCAAGGGAGCCTCCAGCCTTCCACACATTTGTTTTTTGCACCCCTGAGATGATCAGAGGCCAAAGCTAAAAAAATGTGTCAGTGCAGCCCTGCAGATAAAAAATCTCAAGGTTTAAATTCAGGCTTGGGGTGAAATAATTCCAGACTCAAATTACCATTTTCTCTGCTCTTTAGACCCAGAATGATGGAATTATTAAAGCTGGAAAAGGCCTCCAAGATCATCAAGTCCAACCTTTGAGCAAACACCACCTTGGCAACCAAACCATGTCCCCAAGTGCCACATCCACTCATTTTTGAAGTGGTGACACCCCCACTGTCCTGGGCAGCCCCTTCCAATGCCTGACCACTCTCCCAGTGATGAAATATTCCCTAATATCCACCAGGATCGTGTATTTTCCGGCAGGAAAGCCCCAGGAATGTGTTACTCACGTGACTGCATATTGTGCAAAGGACAGGTACTCCACCAGAACATCCAGGCCCTTGTTCTCCTCATTCAGGAACTCCCTGACCCACCTGTTAAAAAAAAACAGCAGAGCCTTTCAGGGCCTTTGGGAAGCCACTGGAATTCCCAGATAAACTGGACAAGCTGCACCACTGAGCAAAACCTTAATTCTCACTCAGGAAAAAAAAAAGCTTTTTAAAATACCCTTTATTATTTAGGAGACTTTAAAAAGCAGCCCTTTAAATGGTTTTACAAATGTACTAAACCCAGGGGGGGTTTTTTGGGATGGTCACCTCCAAACACACAAAGTCACAGGGACCTGGTTTAGTTTTTATCACATCTTGATCTCTGAAGGTCTGTAAAAGCCTGGAGGCAGCACAGCAGGAAAAGAATAATCTGATGGATATCCTGGATGTGCATCCAGCAGTAATTTTGCCTTCTCTTTTTAAAACCTATTAACCTGTTCCAGTGAATTTTGGCCCCTGAGTTTCACAAAAGAATTCAGAAAAGTCAATTATCTTCCTAAGATTTTGAAGATGCCAAGTGAAAGTTTGGAATTCCATCCATTTAGGGGCAAAGCCAGGGGGCCAAAGAGGCTCAGCCCAGCCCAGCTCAGCTCTGAACCCCAAGCAGGGCAGCAAATCCCCCTGGGAGTGGGGAGGTACCACTGGAATTACAGGGCATCCAGGGAGGGAAAGGGAGCCCCAATCTCCCAGGGTGGGAATTCATCACCTCTGAGTTATTCTGGTCTTCAGGCTTTGAATCCTTCTCTGTTTACCTGCTAAAATAACCAGCCTGGTGTTCAATAAAGTGGATTTTGAAGCTCATCCTTCAGCCCAGTGAAGCAAATAAATGAACATTGGTCCTGGAGCCTCTTTGCTTGAGCTGGGGCAGCACCACAGCTCCTCTTGTACATCCCAAATCCACGGGGCATCATCCCAAATCCACAGGGCAACACGCTCAGGTGCCTCAGTGCTCTGCTGGGGAATCCTCAGTGTGGGAAAATGAGGTGGGAATGTCGAGGGGAATGGGATGTCTGACAAAAAACCAAACCTCTGGTGATTCTTTGGCTATTTGAGAGGAATTTTCTGCTTTGTGGAAGAGAAACCCTGGTAATTTTACTCCCAGCCAGGCTTCATGAACTGCACCATGTTACAGGCACTGAACAGCAGGGGGAAGTTATAAATAAATAAATAAATAAATAAATAAATAAATAAATAAATAAATAAATAAATAAATTTAGCTCTATTATTATTCTAGACACAACCAGGTGCTGAGCACGAGCAGAAGTTGCTTCAATGTCTCCTCAGCCTTCACAGAGATGTGGATGAACCTCTCAGGAAAGGATTAAAGCTGAATTATTCTCCTGAGGATGCCCAGCTCTGCTCAGCTGAGCCCCACGGGCTTTAACAATCAGTCAAGTGCCATCACTGCTCGACAGGCAAAGAGATGTTCTCTCAAAGACATCCATCAGCAGATGTTAAAAAATAAATCTGAGAGCAGAGGCACCAAAATTTCTTACCCAATGTGGTTTGTCCTTAAAGAAATTTCCAGTTCTCGCAGCACTTGAGTCGACTCCTGGACTCGCCTTCTGAACTTCTGGAACGGAGTGAGCAGCAAAAACATCAATTAGAGTCATGGGGTGCTATTAAAGAATATCAGCATCTCAGATTGAATAAAGAAAACAGTTCCCAGGTAAACTGAGAACTCTTCCAAATCCCCAGGAATGCAACAACAACACTCCAGCAGTCAACAAAAACACGCGTGGAGAAACCACTTCTGTTCCCGGGAACATTCTGGAGTTTCCAGGATTAAGAAAATTAAAAGCCTGTAGATAAATAAACATTTCTTTATGAAACAAGCTTTGGTTCAGCATCAAACTCTCTGTTGAGGGCTAGAGCAGATCCTCTCCTTCCTCTGCAAAACCAGGTGGAGAGAGAGACAACGAGGTCGCCTCCTCTTCCATCTGGAGAAGGATTGTCTTCCTCTCCCCTGCCCGTGGAACAGTGCTAAAACAGCTGGATAAATTCTGGCACACCCTCATTTTTGAACAAGGGAAATGGGAGCCAAAGTGGATGAAGAATGAGAAGGGATATTGGGAAGGAATTCCTGGCTGGGAGGGTGGGGAGGCCCTGGCTCCAGGTTACCCAGAGAAGCTGTGGCTGCCCCTGGATCCCTGGGAGTGTCCAAGGCCAGGCTGGATGGGGCTTGGAGCAAGCTGGGCTGGTGGAAGGTGTCCCTGCCCATGGCTCAGACACAGCTTCTCTGCACCTCTTTGATTAGCTCAGAGCACACAAACCCAGCACCTTCTCCCCCCCAGAGCTCTCACATTGTAACTCCAGCAATACAAAACCTTCCCTCCCCAGAAATGAAGGTCAAATATTGATGTTTAAAGAGGCAGATGGTCCATGGGCTGGGAGGGCACGGCAGGAACTGTCACCCCCAGCAAGGCCAGGCTGCTCTGCCACCAGAGCAGGGAGCAATCAGAGACTCATGGAATATCCTGAGCTGGAAGGGACCCACAGGGATCATCCATCCAACTCCTGGCCTTGCACAGACAACCCAACCTCTGTCCCTGAGCGTTGTCCAAACCCTCCTGGAGCTCTGGCAGCCTTGGGGCTGTGCCCACTGCCCTGGGGAGCCTGGGCAGTGCCCAACCACCCTCTGAGGGAAGAACCTTTCCCTGAGATCCAACCTGAGCCTGCCCTGGCACAGCTCCAGCTATTCCCTGGGTGCTGTCCCTGGTCCCCCCAGAGCAGAGGTGGTGCTGCAGAGGTGGTGTTTCCTCCTCCTCCTGAGGAAGCTGCAGACCCCTGAGGTCTCCCCTCAGTCTCTTCCTGCTGAACACTCCAAGTGCCCTCAGCCCCTTAATGACCCAATTTGGTGCTTAACGAGCTCCAAGAGCCACCAAACTGCAGCTGCTTTAAAAAACCGTGTCATTTCAACATCTTTTTATTCCCTGCTCCAAAACTCAGCTCAGCCAAAAAGCAATTGTTTTCCTGGGAAGAGCCATTCCAACCCCAATTAGGAGCTGGAACAACACACTTCCAGCAGCCTGGAGCCACCTCCTCTTGGCCACGCTGGGGATCAGCAGCAAAACCACTGACACCACCTCAATCCCAGCAATAATCCCAGTAAGAGGAGTTCTCCCATCTCCATGTGTAAATCTTTCCATCCCACAGCCCGGGCTGAGGAAAGGCTGCGGGTGACACGGAACAACATCACAAAGAGGAACTCGGTTATTTTTAGGCCCTTTGGGTTTGTCATTGGTCATGGGACCCTCAGAGAGGCATCAGGATAAGAAAGGCCTCAATGTGGGCCTCAAGGGAGCGAAGCCAAACACTCCATGAACCTCAAAACCCCTCAGGAGGAAAAACACAAAGACCTTGTTCACCGGGTGCTCAAAACAACTCTGATCGGCCCCCGGCAAATCCAAAGGTTTCCAACTAAATGGGTTCCTACTAAATGGGCTCCTCCTCATGGTCAGAGGCTCCAACAAGAGGAGCACTGTCCCAGGGCACTAGGAAACACGAGCTGGAGCACAGGGCACTCCATGTCCCCTGTTGCCACCCCAGGGATGGAGCAGCACCTCCACGGAAGCCCCGTGTCAGGATCCGTGTTTTCCTGCAGGGCTTATTTCTGGCAGCACAAAGCTGGGATTGTTGAGGACGAGGCAGAGCCAGTCCAAGGCAGGATTGGATGTGCTCTGCTGCCTCTTTTTGTTGTTTTCCAGAGGCTCTTCCAGCTGTCCCACAGGATGTGAGCTGATGGCCAACGGGGTTAAATCCCAAAGGTTCAGCCATGGACTTCTAAATGGGATGAAAGTTTACTGACAGTCTAAAATCCTGGAGGATATTCCTAAATTTGCCCTGTGAGGGACTGGCACAGGTTGCCCAGAGAAGCTGTGGATGTCCCTGGATCCCTGGGAGTGTCCATGGCCAGGTTGGAGCAACCTGGTCCAGTGCTCACAGCAGGGGGTGGAATGGGATGACCTTTAAGGTCCCTTCCAACCCAAACCATTGTAGAATCCTGTGATTCCATGATTTTGTAACAAACCCACCAGAGCTGGGCTTAGTAATCTCAGAACCAGCCCCAAACACATCCCAGCACAGAATCCACACTCAGGGACACACGAAGGTCGAGTGAAGTGTCTGAGTCTCCCACAAGTGATTTCCAAACTATTTGGGATAAAATAACAGGCAAAAGGATGGAGGAGGCTGTGCCATGTAAACACAGCCCAGAGGGGGTGAACTGTGCCAGCTGCACTGAACCTCTGCCCTGCAAATCCCCAGGGAAAAGGACTCCCAACTCAACACCCCCTTCACAGGGGTGAGCAAAGTGCCCTCAGGCAGTGGTTTTAATCCCTGCCCACACAAGAGCCAGGCCTGGAGCTCAGCTCAGTGACAATTTGTCCCATTTTTATTGGAGTTGAGGTTGTTCAAACAAGTTGTGCTGTGTGTCAGATGGTCCTTTGCTTTCCAACATCTGCTGCCCTCCCCGAGCTGTGAAAACTGCAGCAAATTCCCAGTTCCTTTCGGAAGGGAGACTTTGCAGGGGATTTACACAAAGGCAGGAAGGAACCTGGACCCCCAGGACCATCCTGGATGAGGGATGAGGGACAGCAAGAGGAAACAGGATGCTCCTCACCTTCCTGGTGACTGCTGGGTCCAGATAGCCCTTTAATTTCTGGATGTATGTGTGTGGAGGATTCTTCACTTGGAATCTTTCCTGCAAAGGAGACAAGAATAAACATCAGCCACTTCAGAACATCTTTTGTATTTACTTATTCTATATATAAACCACATGCACACACATATATTTGAAGACTATATAATTAGGATATAGTTTGATATGTACATGCCTTATATTCCTAAGGATGTAATTTATGCACATATGATATGCATGCAAATAAAATATATTTATATGTATCTTGATAGTCTGAAATTGGATCTTTATATCAGATGCATAAAAATACATGTTACATATTCAGGGACAATTGTGAATTTTAATTACACAAACAAACACACACATCTGGAGTTATGGGGTTTCTGCTCTGCAGGAGAGGAAGGAGAAGGGATAGAAAAGTGGATGCAGGTCCATGTTTGATTGAAACCATCACCACAAAAGCCAAGACACCTCTTTTATCACTTGGGAAAAGCCCAAAACCACATTGCATGGGCATGGGAAAAAAGTCTCATCATTCCTTGTTGGGATCACAGGAAGAGTAGCATTATGAGCAAGAACAGTTTATCCCACCAAAGCTGCTGGGAAACACGAGCTGTTCCATGAGGAGTGAGCTCTGTCCAAACCTGTGAAGAGCATTACCAAAAGTCCTGATACTATTTGTATCTTGGAAGAGTTTTAAAACTATTCTGCCCCCTTCCCTTGAGGAAAGACCTCATACCAATTTCCTCCTGAAATGTCCCATTTTATAACTGTTATCTGAACCCTCCCTTTATTAGGTCAGGATGAAGTCTTGACTACATTATCCCAAAGTTATTCCAGAATGAACAGGACTCTTCTGCCCAGTCACCAGAACTGTCTGAACACCACAAGTTCTTCCTGTTTTTATCTTGCTGTAAAAAAAGTAATTCATGGTGGTCAGCAGGAAAAAATGAACACAGGAGCCTGCCCTGGTCCCTCAGCCCTGTTGAGAGCTCTGAGGACACGGAGCAGACTCGTCTTTCCTCTTTTCCAACCGAATTCTTTTTCCAGGCACATTCACACCTACAGGCCAAACACGGCTCTGGAATTGGCATTTCCTTTTTTTATCTAAAAAACAGTCCAGAAAATGCAAAGTTCTTCACTGACAGCTCCTCTCTGGCCACAGTGACACCGACAGGGCCTGTCCTGCTCCATCCTCCCCCGGCACGGTGTCCATGGCCACGATTTCCTCTTGGCTCCACAGCACGGATTCCTGGAGCCAGCCTCCTCTCAGATGGTTCCCATGGCTCAGACAGACCCTTTCCTGGAATCACAGAATCCCAGGATGGAAGGGACCTTAAAACCCGTCCCATTCCACCCCCTGCCATGGGCAGGGACACCTTCCACCAGCCCAGCTTGCTCCAAGCCCCATCCTGCCTGGCCTTGGACACTTCCAGGGATCCAGGGGCAGCCACAGCTTCTCTGCCCAACCTGTCCCAGGGCCTCCCCATCCTCCCAGCCAGGAATTCCTTCCCAATATCCAACCTAAATTCCCCTCTGTCAGTTTGGCAGGACGCTGCTGGGCCGTTCTGAGTCAGCCTTACAGCCCCCCCAGGACAGCGAGGTTTTACACTGGGCATAAATATAAGTTATTTAGCAGCATTTTCCACCCATTAACCCCTTTTAAAGCTCCTTCCCACTGGCAAACAGACAAAAAAGCACTTTGTAAATGAGAGTCTGGGCCATGGTTGGCCAGTAAAGAGCTGTGGAGGTACCTGGACCTCAGAGACCACCACCATTCCTCATTTCCCCCCTCAACAGTTCCATATGAGCTCCAGAGCCGCTGCAGCACTTGAATAAGCCCATCATTTCCTACAAAACCCACCAAGGTCGAAGTGTTCTCACTGTGCCACTTGGCATTCGTGCCCAAATACTGTTCTTTGCATCTCCAAGTGGTGGAGCACCGAGCCAAAGGTCACAGAATGATCCCAGAAGGGTTTGGGTTGGAAGAGACCCGAAGGATCATCCACTTCCAACCCCCTGCTCCTCCTGACAGCAGCATCCCAGCCCACCAAGGCTCCACCTCCCCTCTCCCATTTACCCCTCCCTTTTTGGGGGGTTCTCTCCTGCTGGGTTTAGTCTAATCCTCCAGAGGAGCTATTTTGCTCTTAAGGATTTATTTCTCTTCCCAACTAATCAGCTGCTGAAGTGACAGGAGCTTTTCCCAACTGCCAGTTTTAATAGTTGGAGTCTTCAAAATGAAACGTTTAAGGAGACTCAACGAGCACATTCTGCAGTCTGGACTGCAGATACTCAATGTTTGTGTTTATTTTCTTAAAACCTGGCTGTAATTATGTATTTATGTAATAATCTCTACAGCAGTTTCAGTTAAAAAGATGCTGCTTATTCCCATGAAGTGGAATCCTTTGGGCTGAAGGATTTTAAAGCCATTATCCACAAAGAGCAGCCACCAGCAATGCTTTTCCCTAACAAGTGACCAAGAACCACTTGTGGGAAACATCTCCTAGTCCTGGAAAGATTTTTACAGCCCCTTAAAGTGGTTGTTTGGTGGGGGTTTTTTTCTGGTTTGGAAAGCCATGAGGGATTAGCCTTTAAAACTGCCCTTTCCTGGCTGTGATGACTGTCTGGGTTTATCCAGCTTTGACTGTTTTACATTAGAGGCTCATTAAGAAGCTGCCAGAACCAGGGCTTGGTGCTGTGCAGAGAGGGCAGCCCAAGGCTTCCTGAAGCTTCTGGATCACCCTCAGTGCCTGGTTACAACTCTCCTGCTCCCAAAAAACTGACTGGGAGCTCCCACTGTAGCTGGGAGCTGGTTGGAGGCTGGTAGTCCTCTTCCCATGAATGCCGTGGAGTTGGAGTCCTCTCATGGTCCTTCCCGGGAGCGTCCCCACAACCACAATTCCCAGCCAACACCAAGGCCCTGCTCTGCAAAACCACGTGCCTCAGAAACCAGAAATAAAGAGCTAAAAGTCATTGCTTTCTCCTGTCTGCTCCCCCTCTCCACTCCTGGCAATTCCCAGCTGCTCCCTGGCCAAACCTGCTCTCGAAATCCCGATTTTTATGGCGAGGCTTTGACACTCTTTGAAGGAGGAGGTCGGGGAGGGTTTTACCACACACATATAAAGTTTAAACCCCAGCTCTGAGTGGCCAAACTTTGCTCAGCAAACAGCCTAAGCCAGGGGGTGACATCACGACTGGGACGTGGTGGCTTCTCCTCCTGGTCCTGCCAGGATTGAGCCGTTCAGACACAACAAAGTTAATCCATCCCCATGGAACCTGTTTTATCTCCCATGTGTGACTCATGTGAGCACCAACATTATCTGCAGCCCTGAGAGAGGCAGAGCAGCAGTAACTCACCACTGCCTTTGTCAGCCACCTACAAAGCAAACTAACTTAATTCCCGAGGATAAAGGCCCCTTTTTCACTTGGAAAATCCCCGAGGATGTGGCTGCCCCATCCCTGGAAGTGTCCAAGGCCAGGGTGGACAAGGTTTGGAGCAACCTGGGCTAGTGGAAGGTGTCCCTGCCCATGGCAGTGGGTGGAATGAGATATCTTTAAGATCCCTTCCAACCCAAACAATTCCATGATTCTGTAATCCAGGGAAAGAGCATGAATGCAGCAGCACAACACGCTCCTGTGCCTCTTTTATCACCAGTATCCAGAATTAGCCCTTTCTTTCCAGATGGATTCAAAAAAATGGGGGCTGGGGGGGCATTACTTCAGCAGCCAAGAGGAAGTGCTGGATTTCTGCATTTCCTCTTCCACAGGATCCCACAAAGACCTCCATGCATCCCTTGGTCACGCGGATCTGGAAAACGTATTAATTCCGTAACCAGGAAATCGTGGCTTTTCCAACAACCCTTGGCTTCCAAAAAACATTCAGGACATTTTTCTGCATCAGCACACATGTTATTATCATCATTATCGTTATCCTTGCTAAGCTGTTTCATTCCTAGGATTCACAAATGCTCGGCGAGCACACGGAGCGTCCGATGGGATCGGAACCCCACACGCTGTCGGCGCCTGCTGGGAGAGCAGAGAGCCCATGGATGGAGATCACTGGGGAAGGAGATGGACAAGGCAGGGCTGGACACCAGTGTCTTCTCCTTCCTGAGGCACAAACACATCATAAAGGCGGTTCATAATTCCCACAGAGCCAGAGCGTGGCTTGATCCTGCCCCGAAATCCAGCCAGGCCCACCAGCAGGACAACGTGGCACGTGTAAGTCTCCTCATGGAATGAGACGACAGCAGCTGCTCATCTCTGCACTGATCAGGAGGCAGAATGAGCCATTTCCACCACAGTGACTTTCCTGCCAAGCCAGGCCACCAGCACCTCTGGAAGGGACCCAGCCAAGCTGTGTGAGGGAGGGATGCTCCAAGGCTGGAGATCAGCCCCACCACACCGAGCCTTGGACCCCCTGTGCCTCATCTCCAACCACTCTATCCCTCTGTGTTTGATGTTCCTCAAGTCTCCTCTCAGGGCCACCGAGTCAGGCAAATGAAGCCAGTGAGTGTCTCCAAGTTCAACAGAGTCCACTAAAACACGTTATTTTCTCCCCTGTATTTCCCCACAGCAGGGGAGATTCACTGAGAGTCACTATTGGGTTTTTTAAGAAAAGGCTCTCAACCCAGAGGTGTAAATGCAGCCCTCGGAAAGAGATGGAAAATGCTTGGTTGGATATTGGCAAATTGGATCTCTGTTGCCCAAGGGTCAGTGGCACCCCGTGGTAACATGGCCCCTCCAGCACACCTCTGAGGGGAGGTTTGGGGCTCCCCTGAGAGATTTGGGACAAACAGGCAGCACAACATTCCCACAAAACCCTGCTCCTCACTCCATCACCATCCATGGAGATCTATGGATCCCCTGGGCAGAGCTGGGGGTTCACCCAGCCAGGGACTGGCACAGCACAAGCTCCTAACCTGGGGCTGTGCATCCAACATTCCCACACGCTTCCCAGTCACACATGGAAACAACTCCTGACGTGGCACATGGAGCCCCCCCAGGGCACCCAGAGGGGCTGGTCTGGGGTGAAATTTCCCCCAAAAGAGGCCTGGAGGGGTCAGAGCCCCCTGGAGCAAAGCTGAGGGGTGGCACAGGACCCCACCCATGAGCTGCTGGACAAACCCACCAGCACCTCGTGAGCTCCACGTGGCCACCAGCCCCCAAACCAACCACCCTCCAACCAACCAAGCCCCCAAAACAACCACCCTCCAAGCCAACCACCCTCCAAGCCAACCAGCCCTCAAACCAACCACCCCCCAAACCAACCAGCCCCCAAAACAACCAGCCCCCAAAACAACCAGCTCCGGCCTCCTTTGGGGGTTGGAGAACCTGCTGAAGCTCCCCAGTGGGGATATTCTGGGTGTGAACCACACCCCTTTCATTCCAGCCCCTCAATCCCCACACCCCTCCCGTGCCTGCAGAGGTGAGGACGTGGTGATGCCCCTGCCACCATTTGCCATTAGAGGGCAATGAAGAACCTTGGAAGATGTTCCCAACCTCTTCCCTCGGCATCCCTGTCCCTCTGGAACACCTCATGGCACCCAGCTGGGGAGAGAGGCCTCGAGGACACCAAAAGAGGCCTCGAGGATCCCATTTCCTGGCTTTCCATACCAAGAAACAGCATCCACTTCCCTGCCTGGATCCTTCCCAATGCCAACCCCACAGATGACCAGCCTTGACCCTCTCCAGGGTGGGCAACAGGTTTCCTGGCTTTGCTCTTCTCCTCCTCCTTGCCCCCTAAGCAGGGGTAGGGAGCAAGCTCTGAGGACACCAGTGCAATGCTGAGATGCTTCCAAGGTTTACAGACAAAGGAACACAAAATTCCACATGGGATGAGTCCTCCACAACCAGCCCTGCAACCCTTACAGTGATTCACCAAGGAGCACATAATCCTACTCATGGCAGATTATTATGATTATTCTTATCATTATTATTATTACTAGCATCAGTAGGAGACCTGTAGCTCCCCACTCTTGTTAATCCCACTTTTGCAAAAGTGAAAGTTCCTTTAGGGGGCCAAACTCTCTCCAATATTCTCAAGATATTCCACATGCAAACATCCAGGATCTGATTTTCAGACTATTTAGAAAATATCACTGCAGATCAATCTCTGGGTACTGTCTCCTTTCAAATATAAGCTGGAAACCAGCACAGGAGTCAAAGAGTTATTTCCCTCAAGCTGTTCCATTCATTTACAAGCAAAACCAGGTGAAAATGGTGTAGGGGTTGAAACCAAGACAAAAAAATACCAGTGAAAATATGCCCCCACACCAAACTCAGCCACTGTGCACAAACCCTGCTCCTGGCAGTGCTTTTGGCCCCGGAATTCCAGGGACACACATCAATATTTCACACCCCATATGCTGCCTTTCCGTGCTTTTCCCAACACCTGCTCAGGATGATCTGATTTAGAGGGGCTGGGACTGACCCCAGAGAGCCCCTCTCTGCTCAGGAGTGTCCCCCTGGATGGCTGGACATGGGAAGGGTGGCACATGGTCACCTCCCCTCCTCCTCCTCCTCGCAGTGCTGGTTCCATCAGCCCTGAGCCGCTTCCCTGCCTCTCCAGGCGATGGGAAGCGGCCTCATCCCAACCCGGGGGTGGACTGGAGTTGTGCAAGGAGCTGCTGAGAGCCACAATTACTCCAGATTGCAGATTTCCTTCCCATCTGCTCAGCCCTCCCATCCCCGAGCTCGGCAGTGAATCAGCAGCAGCTGCACAGGGTGGATCAGCTCCGAGGTGGGAATTTGCACATCCAGGCTGGGATCAAACTGCTTCTGCCTGTCCTGCTGCCAACTCGGAGCAAGGGCAGCACACGGACTCCAGCACGGAGCTCACGCTTCCCTGAGCTCTGAAAACACCCAGGAAACAAATCACGGAATTACAGAATCCCAGAACTGTCTGGGTTGGAAGGGACTTAAACCTCATCCAGTGCCACCCCCTGCCATGGGCAGGGACACCTTCCACCAGCCCAGGTTGTTCCGAGCCCTGTCCAACCTGACCTTGGACACTTCCAGGGATCCAGGGGAGTCCACAATCACTCACAGTAGTTCCTGCAATTTTTCAGTGTCTCACTAAACCAAAACTTTAAATAGGTCGAGCTTTACATTCTCTGCACAGAAAACTCACGAGAAAAGAGCAAGTAATTCTTCATTCAGCTCTACTTTAAGGTACCCGTGCAACGGTTGTAAACTGCCAGAGGGCAGGGATGGATGGGATATTGGGAAGGAATTCCTGGCTGGGAGGGTGGGGAGGCCCTGGCACAGGTTGCCGAGAGAAACTGTGGCTGCCCCTGGATCCCTGGAAGTGCGCAAGCCAGGTTGGAGCAACTGGGCCTAGTGGAAGGTGTCCCTGCCCATGGCAGGAGAGTGGGACTGGATGGGCTTTAAGGTCCCTTCCCACCCAGACCAGTCTGGGATTCTACAATTTTTTCAGAGGCTCCACCACTGTCTCAGCTAAATAGGAAATGTCCCATACATGTATTTATCCAAATATTCCTGACCTCCCAGCATGACTCCTGCCAAACTCCCACCCTGGTATTCCTGTGTTTTATATTCCAATGAACCACCCTCCTTTTCCAGCCCTGGATCAATTATTTCCATCAGCCCTTCCTGCTGCACTTCCCGGCAGATCCCGATTTTGCTGCTGGCTCCCAAATGCACATCCCACCTTTTCCACACTCCGTTTTCCCCAGCAATGCCACTCCTGTTTATGCACCGTGGCAGAGCCAACCTGTTAATTGTTGTGTGCCCTGCCAGGCCTGCCCAGCTCCCACACAGAGATGCCTCAGCATCTGTCGCTGCCTAATCCGAGGTTGTCTGCAGCCTCTGGAGGTGAACAGGAGTTCAGGCTGCATCACCAGCCTCCTGTGCCTCAAGGTGACAGCTACTGCTGGCAGGGACAATGCTCGGGACGTGGGGACCCAAATACTCCCTGGATTGAGAGAATTTGCTCACGACACAGGTCAGGACAGACCCGACTGAGAGGTGACTGCAGGGGCAAAATCAGCAGCACTGGGCACCCAGAGGACACACAGGGTGACTGTAACATCAGAGGGGCAAAAAGAAAGGAATTATTATGAGTAGGCCAAAGAAATGAGTGTTTCCACTCCTCAACACTGGTCCTCTGGGAGGTCCCTTCTCAGCCCAGGGACGCTCTGAGGAAGCAGTTGGTGCTCTCAGTGAAAACAGCTCCCCAAACCCCCCCAGAGCCCCCTCACCTGGTCACAGATGAGCTCCCACTTCTTCTCGTTGTCGTACTGCCGCAGGAGCCGGGCCTTGTCGGGAGGCAGGTTCATGGAATTCTGTGGGGAGAGGGAAACACCCGTGAGGGACCGGCGGGCAGGGAAAGGCCGGAGCGAACCACGGCGGCGGGGCTGCGGTTGGGGAATTGGTTCCTGGGAGCTCCTGGTGACAGAACTACTCAGAAAAATCTCCTCTGGATGTTGGTTTTGGCCCCAAAAGCACCAGTGAATCACGGGGCACCCGGGGGCAGGGCTGGGTGTGAGGCCACGCGAGGTGAGAGAGAGAGGACCCATCCTGAGCTCCAGTTCCCTTTTTATTAGGAAAACGTTCTTCCCTGTGAGGGTGGGGAGGCCCTGGCATAGGTTGCACAGAGAAGCTGTAGCTGGATCCCTGGAAGTGTCCAAGGCCATGTTTGATGGAGATCTGAGCAACCTGGGCTACTGGAAGGTGTCCCTGCCCATGGCAGGGGGTTGGAACGAGATAGGCTTTAAGGTTCCTCCCAACCCAAACCATCCTGGGATTCTATGACCAGCCACCTCCATCCAGCAGAAAGGACAGGAATTCCCTGAGCTGCCACAGCACAGGAGTCACCTCCCATCCCAGAAGGGTCCCTGGGGTGCTCCAGGTGTCCTTCCCTTTCCCTGAGCACACTCCTGAGGGACACACAGTCTCCCCTGCAGGCTGGGGGCTGCACAAGACCACTTGTCTCCCAAACAGACCATGAAATGCCATTTCATTTTATTCCAACAACTCTTCAGGTTGTTAAACGTCACCACCTGGACCTTATCTGGGTACCAGAGATCCCAGGGGTGGGACTGCTGCTGCCCAACCCCCTGAGATAACAATCCCAGCCTGGGAAGGCCCAGAGTCAGGAGGAAGGGGAGAGGCAGCAATTAGGTGATGCCTATCGTTTGCTGGCTCCTTTGATGTCAGCACAGATCTCCTTCCACCCTTCCAGGGGCACTTCTCCAGGGAAGGGCGGCACAGGCTGGCCACTGGCTCCCAAGGCAGCTTTCCACACCTGTGCTCCTGGAGAACTGGGGAATGCAAACCAGGAATTCAAGCACCAGGGCTGGAGAGGATCCCTATCGGCCCAGCAGCATGGAGCAGGGGCAAGTGCTTGGGTGGAAAACTTGCTGAGCACCTCTTGGTCTTCAGCACCTCTTGGTCTCCAGCACTTTTTGGGCTCCAGTTTAAATTCCCAGACTGGCCCCAGCTATGCCCAGTTAACCCCTGAGGAGCACAGTCCATCCAGGACTGCTCCCAGGGCATGAGGAAGAGCCAGCTGGTCCCTGTGTGTGTAGTGCAGCAGGAATCAATAAATCCATGGCTTGGCACCAAACCTTCCCTCCAGGATCACACCCCTTCCCAAGCTGTGCCATGGGCAGCCCTACAGCTTTATCACAAGAGGATCCTCAGGACCATCCCAGACCCACACTCTGCTACACCCCTGAGCCCAGAGCTCCTCTGTTTCCTCACACAAACCCCCATCCCAGGGAAGGGAAGAGGAGGGATGTGGACACTCTGAGCTGCCACCAGTCCCACCAAGAGCAGCTGCCAGGGTCAGACACCCCAGGCTGCTCAATGGCACCTGGAAAATCAGGATTTCAATAAACCCCTGGCAGGACTGCAGGTGCCCAGGGGTCCCTGTGCCAGGACATGGTTTGTGTAGTGCTGACCACACTGCTGGGCACCACAACAGCCAGGAGAGCCCTGGGGGATGAGGGATTGCTGAGAGGGAACTGGCCATCCATGGCAAAGATTCCCAGCAGGGTCTGGGTCTGAGGTTTTCCCTGCTCAAATCCCAGTGCTTGGGTCTGACACAGGACACTTCCCAGGGCTTTTCCATCTCAGCTGAGGGTCTCCCCACTCCCAGCCAGCCCTGGGGGCAGCAGTGCTGCCCTGACCCAGCTCCCTCCCAGCTGCTGGTCCAGCTTTCCCTCTCCCTGGGTTTCCTGGCTGGAAAACAGGAGAGCTCGGTGTGATAGGAGCACAGGTGGCATGTCTTCTCCAACCTGGAGGAGGCTCAGGACAGGGGTCCCCCTCACCCCAGGGCATCCCCAGGAGCACTGCTGGGATGCAGCCACCACCTGCCACCAAGCACAGGAGCAGTGACACCATCCACAAGTTCCATGTGACAGCAAACTCCTATTTCTGGGAACACAGGGGACCCCAAGGGACCCCTCCAGTGCACTTGTACCTCCTGCTCCACTCAGGAGCACGGAGGGGGTGAGGACAGCGAGGGTCCCCAGCCCATCCTGCCACCTGCACATTGTGTTTTCTCCTCTGCCCTCCTTCCATCCCAGCCAGAGTGTCACCTGCTGCCAGGGATCCCCTCCACCAGCTCCCAGGGATCCCCCCACGCCTGCTGCTGTGATCCCTGCTCTTCCTAAAGCTTGCTCTCCATCAGATAACAAATACTCTTCCTTTTGCTCATCTCTGCTGTCATGTTGACAGCATTTACAGGCTCTGATGGTATCTGTGCCTGATTCTCCTCTCAGTCTCTCACCAGGCTCCTTATCAGTTCTACTTATCATTCAGTGCACTCCTCGGTATTTTTCCTGGGGGTTCTTCCCTCATTCCTCACCTCTGAGGATGCAAACATATTTCACAGCTACACTGGAGCTCAGCTGTAGGAAAAGCTTCCCTGTTTACCTGCAGTACCCCCCCTGTCAAGCTCTGATCTCCTTAGAGCTAATCAGCTTAGGCACCAGGCTGGCACTGGGACAAGAAGCCTGCCTGGAAACCCCTGTACAACCCAGGCATGGCAAGAGTTCAGCAGGGCTGAGAGCCTGCAACAGGGCAAACAAGAGCCAGGCAGCAGGTCCCAGTGATCTCATCCCAAAATGAATTCCATGTGAGCTCACTCTGCTCCAGGGACTCCTTCTCTCCATGTTGCTTTGCTGCACAAACCACCTCAGGTACCACTGGGGCTCAGGTCAGACCCCCCTGCCCTCTCCAGCAGGGAAAGTTCTTCCTGAATTATTTATGAACTGTTTGTGCACCTCCCAGGTTCAAACCCCAGTGGGTGATTTGCACCTACTCACTGCTCAGGGAGGGATTTAAAGCCCTTTTGACACCTGCCTGTGTTCAAGTCCCTGACCATGGCATGGACAGGACCCAGGTCACCCCAGAGTCCCTCCAGTCCCTCACTTCCTCTCTGCTGGAGGGAACTGGGAAGCAAACTGCCACCTTGGTTCCATGTCCAGCCTAAGGCAGGTGTGGATCTATTAGAGAGCACCCAAAGGAGGCCACGAGGGTGGGGAAGGGTCTGGAGGGGCCACATGAGGAGCAGCTGAGGGCACTTGGCTTGTCCAGCTGGAGGAGCCTGAGGGGAGACTCATTGGGGTCTGCAGCTTCCTCAGGAGGGGCAGTGGAGGTGCAGCTCCAATTTCTGCTCTCTGTGACCAGGGACAGCACCCAGGGAAGGGCTGGAGCTGTGCCAGGGCAGGGTCAGGTTGGATCTCAGGAAAAGGTTCTTCCCCCAGAGGGTGGTTGGCACTGCCCAGGCTCCCCAGGGCAGTGGGCACAGCCCCAAGGCTGCCAGAGCTCCAGGAGGGTTTGGACAATGCTCTGAGGGACAGGGTGGGATTGTGGGGTGTCTGTGCAGGGCCAGGAGTTGGACTAATGATCCTTGTGGGTCCCTTCCAGCTCAGGATATTCCATGACTCCCTGATTCTACATCATCCCTTCCCTCAAACCTGCACTACCACTGTTCTTCAGCTGGTCTTACTCTTGACAACCACTCCCTGCTGGAAAACTAGTTCCTAAGCTGTGATATTTTTACTTAAATGGGAAGCAATATATTTTCTTTCCATCTCTGCATGGCCCTGCACCAACGGGCTTCCTGAAATCCAAGTGTGCTGCTCCTCATTGCGTAACTCCGGCTGTTCCAGCAGGATCCGTGGCAAGGAAGGCTCCTGGACTGGCCAGCTCGGCCTCACCAGCTCCAGCAGTTTGGACTCCACTCATACCCAAGCAGATGACTCGCTGTCTGGGTTTCTTGTTCTCAGTGTTTCAGTGGAATGACTCACAAACGTCTCCCGGCCACTTCCAGCCCTCAGGACTGTGGCCTTCACACATCCCAGAGCTTCCAGTTAACTACAGGCCTGTGACCTGTGGTTTCTATTTCCATCTTTACCCAATTAGAGTTCTGAAGGCTCCTGAGAGTGGAATTATCCCCCCTGAAACAATCCCAACTGCTGGTAGAAGGGATGGCCCCACTCCCTCCTGTGGTCCCCTGGGTCACCACCAACACTTGCACAGCTGGAGACCCTTTGCCAGCAGAGCAGAATTCCATCAGCTCAGGAAGAGCTGAACCTTTATATTGGATACTCAGCTTCCATTAGGATTCCTTGCAAACCCACTTCTGCCAGTGGCAACAGCAGCTGAAGCTGCCCCACTGTGTTGCACCCACTGCTCTGCATCCCCATCCCCATTCCCTCCTCATCCCCATCCTCATTCCCATTCCCCTCCCTCATTCCCAGCTGGCCCTGGGAATGCTGGACCCACACACTGCTGTGGCTCACACCAAACATGATCCAGAGTAGAAATAACCATTTTGGGCCAAACTCTTTGCCCCCGGCCAAGCCCCCGTGCCCAGGTGAGCTCCGAGGCTCTGTTCTGTTCCTCCCTCCTGCAGCCTGAGGAAACCAGGCCCGCCTTCCCCACCACACTCCAAATTTCCACTACCTCACAGTGCTTCTAGGACTGAAGAGGGGGAAAGAAGCCAAAGAGCCAAGCTCTGGCACATCATCCTGCCTGGCTGTCTCCGAGGAACTCGGTGCTCCGCTGGCTCCGCGTGCGGCTTCCGACCCCTCAGAAACACCCACAAACAGCAGCCCAGGGCTCTGCACCCAGGGGAACTCCAGCCTGATCCTCCACAGCATCCTGCTGTCTGCAAGGGCTGCTTTCCAACCCCACTTCGGCTCCAAAAACACACAACTCCTCTTTCCCCCCCCAGATTCCGAAGTTATTCATGTCTGCTGGGCCGTGCCAAATAATATAGGTGAGGTTTCCATTCCGTGTGCTCTGGGCTGGCAATAGAAAGCTAAAACTT